GAGCCTTTCACCACGACAGTTTGACCAGCGGACATGACCTCCGGTATGTTGCCTCTTAATCTCACATGACCCAGAACGCCACTCGTGTTCTGCTTTCGCCTCGTTTCAAGGGTTTTCAAAACCACTCTATACCCAAATAGAGATGGCTGGTGCTTCTGGGATTCTGCCTGTAACTGCTGCTCATAAAGGATGTCAAGAGCGTTGGTACCTATTAAGATCAACGGCTGAGCGTGAGACTTCACATCTGGAACAACTAAAGCTACCGTGGCCACTTCAATAGTCACACCCAAAAACTCTTCAGGGAACGTGATGTCTACCTTTACGTAACCCTCGTACGGAACGGACAACCCATTTGCGCCTTCTACCTCTAATATATCGTCAAGAGGGTTAATCGGCTGCTCTGAGAGGTGTTGTTCATAAAAAGACTTAGGCACAGTCGTGACCTGGGATCCAGTGTCTAGTAGACAATGACATTTCTTACCAGCTATGCTGACTTCGGCAACACACCTAGCACCAACTAAGCCCTTAGGTAGGTTTGCATTCTGCTTCCTAGAAGTTTGGCATTTCTTGAAGACACGATTTACAATGGGACCATTTGACTTTAACTCAGTTCCTGTATGTCCCACGACAGGAACTGCCTCTAGTTTAAATTAGAGCTAGTAGGGAGATTCTGTGACTCCCACTGTAACTGTTTCTCCCTTAACAGCCTACGTTTAGTAGCGACAAGCTCGGGATTTGGCTCAGAACTACAGGACGATGCAATGTGGCCATCCTCACCACATGTGAAACAGTACCACGGCCTAGGTCTATCAGTTGGCTTCCTGTTGACTGGAACTACACTCGCAGCAGCCCCTGACTTCCTTTGGTCAGGTGGTGCAAGCTTGTTGACTACCTCTCGCGACGGGGTTTTCTTTGGATATTTAGATCGGACTGCGAGATTAGCTAACTGACTCTGAAGTTTGACAATCTGCTTCTTTAACTCGCGCGTTTCAGTTTCAAGAGAGCTCACTCTAGGACCTTCGTCTTGTTCTAATTCAGCAGAAACCCACGCTTTCTGAGAGTGCATTAACGCGCTCTGCTTAGAGGACCCAAGGTGTTTCTTCATTCGAGTTGCTTTCGCAGTATGTTTATCCTCCTCTGTACGAAGCATAAGCAGAAGCTGTGCAAAGGCTGCGCTTTTGCTCTAGTCGTAGTTCGGTGATTAAATCATTATCCCAGCAGCCCCTGCAAAACTGCTTCAGAAGGTGCCTATCTGCCTCTGCTGGGACGATACCATCTCTTTTGACAGTTGCATTTAAAGCTGACTGTAGCCTGTACAGATAAGTGGACGGCCTTTCACCCGCATCCTGCAACGTGTTCATGAATTTGGCTAATAATTCATCCCCATCCTCCACAGCCCCGAAAGCGGAGTCTAACAGCTGGAGGTAAGCGGAAGGAGGAGATTCAGGATTCAGATGCTTTATAACATCTGCCGCAGGTGGCAAAAGACTGTCTAGTATTCGCCTAGACGCATGCAAATCGGACAAAGAGGGATCTTTCAAAATGAATTCGACACTAGAACGCCAAATGTCGTAATCTACCTCGTTGCCAGGCCTGGGGCATTTTCCTGAAAATACTCTGAGCCTGGGCTGTACATGCCCTTGAGCAACCACTTCACTGCTCCGCACAACATGTTCAACTACTAGTCTTTGGACCTCGGGCGGGTTGAGAAATTTGGACGACGTGCGAAGGGTCGGCTCAATCAAATCGATAGGAGTAGGTTGGGGCGCTACGTCATCTATCTGACTAGATGGATTACGAATTGGGTCGAAGTTCCCATCAGGAGATGCCCAATATGGTTTCTCACAGGTGTTTTCACCAGTACTACCAGAAACAGCGGGCTCTGGTGGGAGGTCAGCACTCATTTGCGACAGCATTTCACTCAGTATAGACTCAAAGTTGTTTCCGCTCAGTTCCGCTATTTCTTTTAATCTGTCCAGGTAGGACTTTGTTATGCTACTACCCAGTTGCTGTGTAAACACACTGGCTAACGCTCTCACATGGCACTTAGCACCGGGTTCGCTTGACAGCTGGTGAGTATACGGCAATGTTGGTCCAAGTGATTGCATCGCTTTATTACTGTTGTACTCAACGATCACGTTTTGGTAGAATTTGGATTCTTTGTCGTCGATGCGCACGGTTTTGACAAACGACCTGTGTCGTTTCAGAGCATCAAACAATTCATCATCACTCGCAACGTCGGTTAAACCACTGACTATTACGGAGTTTGGGATAATAATCCCTTCAGCTTCAATAATCTCCATTATCGTCGCTTGCTTGAAAGCAAAAGGGATATAAAATGTGTAGCTGTTAGTTCTCAACAACAGCGCTGTCTCCTGGCTGGCTCGCCAAAGTTTATGTAGCACTCGTCTGCAGTAATTTAATAGACTTTTTATATTACTGTTATAATACAGATAAAATTTGAATTCCGTCAGAAGAATCAGGGATCGCTAAGGAGACAGCGGGTTAACATGAGAAGTAACAGACAGATACAAGATTGAATTAGAAATATAATTGGTTTTACTTGAAAGGAAAAAATAGAAAATTTATAAATGTAAATTACAAGATCACATAAACAATAAACAATAAAATTGACAATGAAAATTTCCACCACGAGTGCACTCTTGTCGGTGTTTTCAAATATGTACCCACATAGTCAGTTCAACACTCAAAAAGAAAAGGGAAAAAAAAAAAAGTTCTTAAGATCGAAGTTGTCGTGTTTCCACGAGTAGCCCTGAAAACTCAAGGAAAGGATAACGGCCTCCTCTCCACGAAGTGATGTCTTCTCCCTTTCTAGAAACTGGGTTGGCTCGCCATCAAACACGGAGTCTACAGGATGTCACAGAAGGTTGTGCAGTCATCATGTCTCCAAGGTATCAAGAAGAAAGAAAAGAAAACGGAAAAAAACAAAGGAGAGAGAAAAAACCTGGCCTCTGAATCGATAGCTTTCTCTCTAATACAGACACGTGGCCAACAATGGCGACGGTGAACTCTTTGTGATCGATTTTTCTTTTGCTCTCACACAGGCGCAACTACAGGCGTGCGTGATCATAAAATGGGGTCGGTGAACAAGTAGAATGTATTCCTCAATTCAGTCGGCTTCTTATTCAGAATGGATCAAACTAATTAATTCTCAAGCTTTCTCGTATTATTTCAAAGATTTTCAATCAAAGATGTATAAAAACGGATCACGACGATCAGATTGCGTCTGCTCTTCTCAATCAAGCTCGTCTCTTCTGTCATCGCGCATGCTCGTTGACGCCCATGGCGCAAATGACAAAGAGCTCTCATTGGTTGATCACTAAGCTTCTATCTAAAATGAGTTTGCAAATTTATTTATTTTATATTCGTAACTTTTACATCTCTTATCGACTTTTATTAAGGGAACAGGATATTGCTAAATTGTGTATCAATTAAATAATTACTTTTATTTAACCTGTGTTACATAAGGCCTAATCCTGGTTTAATCTAAGCCCTGTTTGTGAAACCAGGCCAATAACAAACAGTACCCTAGTGAAAAATTAATTTACCAAAATGTATTTGAAATACATTTTTATAGTATACTTCACATACACTTACATATTTATGTACTTAATATAAAAACCCTGAATTGTACTTTTAGTATACTAAATTTGTATACTTAAAGTCTGCTAAATTTGGAACAACTAATTTTGTACCTAATGCACTTTTGTTATCTGGAAGTAGTGCTGACGTCCAACTAAAGATATGCTTAGTTAGTATATTAGATTGTGCTAAAGTTGAACTATTGCAAGTATACTTTATGTACACTTTAAATCTTGCATTTAAAGACTGATATTATACAGAGATCATACTATCCTTACTAATAGTGATATTAAAACACATTTTAGGCTTAATACTAAGAAATGTGCATTGTGCAATGAAGAAGTACTCCAAATAAAGTTTAAATATAATATTTATATCAGTAAGTCTCAAGCGATGTCAAAAATATGTCAATGGATTTGTAGTATACTTAGTATGAAATAAAGGTATTTTAAATATTTTTGGTGTAGGATTTTTTCTACTTGGGCAATCATTGGAATAAATGTTAAAATACACATTATTTCAAAAGTATAGCCACGAGACTAATGTGATCAAATTAATCTTCTCATAGAGTGAGAAGAAAAACAAATGCCCACAGGAATTGCCAGAAGCAAACTCCCACTGCAAATGTAGGATTTAGACATTCAAAATACGCAAAGAACACACTATTATGAATGGAAGAATGAATATACACTATCGTTAAAAATTTTGAGTTCGACAAAAGTCTCTTATGCTCACCAAAGCTGCATTTTGTTTTATCAAAACTACTGTAATACAGTAATATTGTGAAATATTATTACAATTTAAAATAGCTGTTTTCTATTTTAATATACTTGAAATCTTTTGTAACATCTTTACTGTCACTTTTGATCAATTTAATGCATCAATGCTGAATAAAAATAAAAATCTGTACATTTATTACTTGAGCTGTAAAGTTCTAACTGTAAATCGAGCTGTAAATCATTATGTGTTCCATAAAAAAAAAAAAAAAAAGCTAAAATTAATTTCATATGGTCTTGATACTAGGTCTTGGCCACTAGAGGGAACCATGAGACATCGTTAAATATGTAGCTTGTGTATAAAACATCTTGTACTGGTTTAAGGCCCTCATGACAGGCTTGTGCACTCATTTGGAGCACTCTAGAGCCTTATGTTTTTTTAATAAAAAGAGAGCAATTGCCTGTTTAATCTAGTCTACATTTAAAACCCTAATGATGCTGAGGTACTGTTTTTATATAGTATTTATAACCAACACATAAAACGCAAGCATTATCCTTTAGGTAGGGTTGAAACTCTTAACCTAGAAACTCAAGGACATCATCAGGCAGAGCAATACCCATCACTCTATCTGTCTTCCTCTATCATCTCTTTCCATCACATTCTCACTCTCTCACTCTCAGGAGGCTGTCTCTGCAGTGGCGGGCCGTGGGGAATTCTCAGTGCAGAGGGGTGTGGAGACGAGTCCGTCGACGAGACTCCTGTTCCTGTCCCACTGTACACAGTTTTCTCTTCATCTAACTCTCACACTTTAACCGGGTCATGAAATTTCAAAGAAGTGACGATAGAATGTGCAGAGACCGACTCAAAGCAGCTCTAGGCTTGTAATCCTAACTATACAGTTGATTACAGTACGTTATCAAGAACTGATTTAATATTAGTCACAGATAATTCACATTTCCTCATAAAAGACTCCTTACTAATGCTTGCGCCCGTTATATTATGATTAAGTAATGCGTTTTAAGAAGTAATTCTCCAATGCATGGATTAAAAACTGTACATTTATAAGTTTCCAAATGCTTTTTGTGGCTACTCCATTTGAAATCACGTGTATAAACTCTAATGACAACACAGAATAATTGGTAAAATTAATAATCTGTATCATTTATTTGATTTCCAGCCAACCAAGGGGGGAGGGGGATATCTCTTCTTCATACTGCAAAGAAATCTAAAGATTTCAGGACATTTTGACACATTTTTGGCTCTTTTTCCTATATAAGACAAGGAATTGGCTTTTCGTCACATACAGAACAAGTTACAGCTTCAGAGGTACGACATGCATTAAACAACATAACACACGTACAGAAACAACGGCATAGAAAGTCAACAGGTAGAAAGATTACAAACTTTAGACCTACAAACAACATTGTAGAAGATTTAGGGGAAGGGAGGGATTGTAAACAGTGCTCTCTTTTTTTAAAGTTCCCTGGAAATTCTATATGGATGCTTACAGTAATTTCTTTTCATCATGAAATGCTTCCTAAATTTCATAATACTAGTTACCACTGTTATTGTACAATTTCATAAGAAAACAACAAAAATCAAATAAACGAAAGATGTTACTTATTTGTGCTTTCTGGTTTGAATGAAATACACAAATCATAAAAAACCCTCTCATAAATAAACTGAATTAAAAGTCAAAGTGCCTGTTATATAATGCATGTTGCTGTAAATCTAACTTAAACATAAAACATTTTATTTTCAAACAGCGTCCATGTTGATGCTGGAATCATAGGTCGTCACAGTTTGACACCTTTGTGAGCAAATTTGAATTCCACTTAATTTAAAGGATTTTATAAATGTACCATGATGAATTGCAACCTGCACTGTCGTGGGGGTGGGTATTCTAGACAAAACACCTTTAATGCCATCAAACCATCCAATAAGACACTGACATTGTACTCAAACTACTGATTGTCATCACTGTTTTTAGACTGGAGTCAAAAAATATCCCCCAAAATAATCACCCATATATAATTCGCTCTAATCTTTGTTAATGCTCTAAGCACACTGGACTGCAAGTGTTCCCCGTGGGACGTTACAGAATGACATCAGCAGAACAATAAAACAACATATGCTAATCTGAGACATCTCCGATTAAGCGGTTAACATGGACTATATGGTGGTGAATCTCACAAAACCTGTCAGGATTAAGTATTTATATATATATTATATATTTATAGAAAATTAAACGTCTTGATGTTTTGCTTTTGAATATATATATATATATATATATATTGGGGGGATTGAGGGAAAACGCATGATAATTTTTTAAAGAAAATACACAAACTATTTTCTTTAGATTTTTGGGTCAAATATTCCAGACATTTCTTTGTGAGATTTACCCATGGATTATTAAAAAACCAGGGTTGACATTGACCTCAGGGCACAGCCTAACACAGATACACAGCAAAGAGAGTTTTGAATGGCTTCAGTAAGGTCACATTTTAGTGATAATGTTCTCTCCGTATGAATCTACTGAATGAATAGGGTATTGAATGTGGATCACACACCCGGCAGATCATGGATATTATATAATATCCACATAAAAGACCACAAATGGAGCAAGGGACCTTAGCACTCAGAAAGCAGCTTCCTCTCCACACCATTACAGTAAGCAGTACACATCGTTGCATTCATAAATTATTCTGTATAGAGCAGAGAGGGAAGATCCCTCTAACTTGCAGTTTTTTCTCTCCTCCCATACACACCCTCCGCCCGCTCTCTTGCTGAAAATTGGTATTCCGTTCACACCTCACTTCAACTCAGCTAAAATCGTTGAGACAGGGAAGGAAGCATACACACTCACAAGTCTCGGTAGAGGCCGAGTTTCCCCCCATCATCTTTGCACTCCCCAGATAACACATTCTAAGAGACAAGTACATTCTGACAATGTGACTTTTAATAATGGTACGGATGCAATTGAGTGTGTTTTTTTAGTCTAATTTAGCCCTCTCTATCCCAGTTTTCAAATTCAATATGAGCGCTAGAAGGGAGGGCTTGTGGTCACCATGGAAACTGGATATAGTCGTCTTCAGGACATCGTCTACATACCTGTGAATACATGCTGGACTATGTGGTTACAAATTGGTGAGGATGGCTGCGATGGCGATACGAATCAAATCTTTCAAGGATATTAAGTTTGTGCAGTGTAAAGGGATTGTATCAAATTTGGAGATAAACATTGCCATGCATTATATACTTTATTACAGAGCTCGCTATCAAAAGATAAATGTTTGGGATTAAGTGGTGGTCATCTTGGTCACATTGTGTATGTTGAGCCTGAGGACACAAAAGGTCCCATAAAACCTTTTATTAAATCAAATATCTCCCTGGCAATGCAAAAGTGTGAGACCATCTCTCCCTCATTTCATATGATCATCTATAAAATACTTTCAAAATATATATTTATTCTTATATTCAGAAATGTTTGTGTTTGAACAGTATCCACTGCTATGAGATTGGTAAATCTAACTGAAATCTTGAATTGACCTGAAGTTTTTCAGTAGTTTCTTTGTCAGATTTAATCTAGCTTTCCATCGCTTACCAATATCTGTTAATAACAGGAAGAGGTATGTGTTGTCTATTCGTTCTCAATGTTGCTTCTGTTTGGGCTGCCAATGTGCATGTGCTACGTACGTATATGAAATCATAAATATGGGCTTTTGTAATAAAACCTTACACATGTAAGCACAAGTGTATCTTCGGTAACTTTCTTAAAAAGGTATAGTTAACTTACAAATGAAAATTCTGTCATCATTTACTCACCCTCATATTGTTCCAAACCTGTACGCATTTCTTTCATCTGTGGCCCCAATGGCTACCCAATGCCCCCCAAAAATATATTATTTTGTGTTACACAAAATAATTAAATCCTCACCAGAATGAAAATGTGGGAGACTAAACAATGACAGAATTTTCAGTTTTTGGTGAACTATCCCCCTTAAGCGTCGCCATACTAGAAAAAAAAGATGAAACACAAGTAGGTACATGAGGGGAGGTAAATTTAAACAGATTTTGGTCTCTTCCAATGAAACAATTGACAATTTTTTCATACTGATGAATATGACAAGAAATTTCTACAGATAATCTTCATGTCTATATAAAAATAAATAAATCAAGTAGAATCACACAGCATGTGAATATATTTTGAAGAGGGAGCTTGTGTGAAGGAATGTTGGTTGTTATATGCGTGCACATTATCATACCATCAGCCCTCCCTATATCAAATACGCTTGCACACAAAACACTCACACTGTATGCAGACCCATAACTGCAGTTAAGTAAGGCCAGTTAATTAGGGGATAGGGGAGGGGTGCACTAGTAAACAGGGTATAACATGTCTCTAATGCTAATTTTTAAGGTGGGCTGTGGACAGTGGCTAGCTGACGTGGGCAGTGATGGACTGTCCCCCTTGATTTACCATACACACCTGGGCTTAAATGTCTGGTAAGTTTTCAGCCTCAAGCTATTTAAGCTTTAGCATAAATCCTGTTCTTTTCACAAACAAGCCCGTAGGCCAGATCCGCTCTGCCTTTACCTTACCCCTGCGATGCGCCAATGCAGGCTTGTTTACAGAAGAGGAAAAAGGGCAAGAGGTGTAGGCAGTGGTGCATCTTCAAGATCCTGTCCCTTAATGATGTAACATGACCACGGTTTTCCAGTTAACTCTCCCGCATAAAGTCACCAGGGTAGGCCCCCTGGTCAGATGCCTGTACAATTAATCTCCATTGTACATTAGTCTCCGCTTTCTCTAAAGTCTTTTACTGAACTTGGCCTTTTTTCTCTTCACTTTTTCTTTCTTTCCGCGTAGTCCAACTCACCACCCTGAGGCCTCAGAGGCCCTTATCAAAAGCGTTGGAATGTCCCCTGTCCCCTTTGGGCCTCCGTGAGTTCTCTGAAACCACATGGTTCTCATGGCTAACACTTGGGCTACTTCCCAGTGGAAATATGCAGTTCTGACCTAACAGCCTTTGGGCAGCTTCCAAGTGGTTGGTGGCCCCCTGGTAACCACTAATTCGAGGCTTGGAGCTGAGGCCACCAAGCAGGTGCTCTGATGGGCCACCCTCACGCAAGTGCTCCTCGTCATCTGTGTCGGCATCGATGTACTTGCTGATGGATGCATCGTGGAAAGTGAAAACTGCAGGGGTGAGTGCCTTCCTCTCTGGTGTCTTAGGTGGAGTCCTGCTGCTGGCTGTTGTGTAGACTGACACCTCTGGGCTTAGGATGGAGAGGTCAGAAAGAATAGAGCTGTCAGACAGAGGACCACCAGATGGACTGGTCTCACCACAATTGCGATGATTCACCCTAACCGCATGCATTTTCTGAGAGTTTATAAGCAGAACTTGTTGCCGCGAACCATCGGTGTTGAGAGGCTTAGCACCAGAACAAGGTGGCGTGAGCATGGTATCATGCTCCAGTGTGGTCTGCAGGCTTGGATTAGCACTGACTCGACAAGTGAGGCCAGAACCAGGACTGTGGGAGAACCGAGAGCTCTCTGGGAGTGACAGACCCCCTGCCGGACTGTAGGGGAATCGTGGGTTCTCTTGGAAGTCTGTTGCACAGCTGATATAACTGTCAATGCTTGACAGACTTTTCATGTCTACCACCCCTTCACGACCCCCATTCAGTGGGTCACCTCCTTGACCTGGCAAGGCTCCCAGCTCAATTTCATCCCTTCTATGGCCTGCTCGAGATAAATTTTTGTCTTTGGTGTTCAGGTTGGGCTGTGACTGAGTCTTTGCCATCTGGTTGTACATCTCTTC